GCAGCGCTGCCCCTTTACGTCACCGCGCGCCCCGCCCCTTGCGCCGCTGCGCCGCACTCACGCTCCTGAATAACGGGCCGACTTCTCCTGGGCGCCACAGCGCCGCCGCCCGGCCGGAGGAGCTGAGGCCCTTCCCAAGCCCCGCCCCCGGCCCCTCCGTTGCGGGCGAGCCTCAGCGTCTGCCGGTGCGAGCGAGGCGGAAGCAGCTGATCGTGTCTGATCCTTTCGGTGCCCGACACCCAGTCAAGGCCCGCGCGCCTCCGCCCCCCGCCCCGACAGACATAGCTATGTTCCAGCCACGTGCTGCAGGCGGCCGTCGGGGATGATGCACCGGCCCGCAGCATGGGCTCGGGCGAGCACGTAACTGCATGCTGCTGCTCCGCGGCGCCTGGCGCGCTGCACGGAGCCCCAGCCCCGCCCAGGCCGGCTCCTGCTGCAAGGGCCTCCTCCTTAGAGGGGCAGCTCCCGGAGGGCAGGCGCCCCCTTTGTCTTGCCGGGGCCTGCGCTGAGCCAAGCCCTCCTCGGAGCTGGGTGCGAACTCCACGTTCGTGTGTCCGAGGAGCCCTCCGCAGACTGACAAGCCCGGGAACATCCCAGGACCCCGCGTGTTGTCTACACTCGCCACCGAAGAAGATGGCCGGTTGCAGTCAGAGGAAAAGAAATGCTGAGTAGCTGAGTTTTCCCCATCCTAGTGCAAAGCGCCCCTGACGCCCACCCGCAGACCCGCGGCCCCTGCCTGGCCGGTGCCCAGGGCCCCTCGTGGCTCTCAGTCCCTGTCCAAGGTACCCGCCGCTTCGCTGTCGGGGACGGTGGCCGGCGCTCTGGAGGGCACCCGCTGGCGAGCGCTTCGGATGCGGCGCAATTCCCTCTTCCAGCCGCTCACCCCATTTGATCAAACGTCGGACGTGGTGGAAGACTCTTGGTGGGAGCTTGAGGGGGCTAGAATCAACTGACCAAGCCTTAGGAGCCACGTCGGGAGCCCGCGGCCACCTTCGTCTTGTCAAGCTTTCAGTGCCCTGGGTTTTCCTCTCCGCTGCTTGTTTTTTTCCTTCCTATTTTATTTTTTTAGAGAGAGAAGGGTCTGGAGAGTTGGAATTTATACATCAGGTTCCTCACATGATCTGATGCTTCACTGTTTTTCTACTAGATCTCCGGTGTATGGAAATTGATCGGGGTCCTTTGATCAGTAGAAGGAAGTTCTGTTGATGTGTGCACTGGAGTAAACAGCAACAAAATTTACACACACACACACACACACACACACACACACACACACTACTGCTAAAAGCAGGCACTCTGGCTTATACCTTTAGAACACCAGTTTTAGATATTTAAACAAAACAAAGCAAACACAAAAACATCCAGAAAAATTTGTGCCCTCCCTGCAGAATTAGTCGTTATTCAGAGAAGCTGACCTATTTTCTGCTGGACAGTTCAAAACACGATAGTAAAAATAAAAAATTCTGGAAACAAAGTGGGTTCCAGACAAGCCAGCATTATATTTAGCACTCAAAAGATGCCTTTCAAGTGGTGCAGTAGTGATATGGCCAAGTGCTTACATATGCACAACATAGGCACAGAATTGTTAGTGATTTTAAAACCCCAAATTTGTTATGAGTAAAAGCTAACAGCTAACTTTATATTGCACTCTGAGATCTACAAATCACATCACATTATCTCACTTGATCCTTACAACAACCCTGGAGGTAGGTGCTATCATCCCCATTTTACAGACAAGGAAACTGAGGCAGAAAGAGGTTAAGTGATTTTTTTTCCAGACTAGAGTGTCTTGACTAGCGTTTGAGGCTCGTTTTGAACTGAGCTTTTCCTGACTCCAAGATCACACTATCACAACCCCACCTAGCTGCCTCCAAGTTTTGCCAAACTGAGAGGGGTACTTGACCAAAAAAAGGTTCGTTGACTGTTTTGCTTAGATAAATGGGTTTATTGATGTAGCCACTATTCACTATTCATGATAGCCTTTTGTGTAACCTGAGTTGGTACCAGGAAACTAAGCTGGTGAATGAAAGCCAAGGGCCACTTTTCCCTCTTGAGAGTCAACAGGAAAGTGGTTTTCATTTTGACCTTATCATACCCCTAGGTCAGAAGGATTTGAGGGGTGGCAGATAGATAATCCTCGACCAATACCCCTCAAGGAGACTAGAGGAAACATTGCCCAAAGACCTTCAGTAGGTCCCTGTGGCCCAGCCTCAGCAGTCCTGGACCCTGCCTGCCCCTCCCTCAAGTCACTTCTGATCACAAAGAAGGGAAAGAGACAAGGGGAGTTAGAGTAGATCTGAGATGACAATTAGTCGTGCCACCCATGCTGCTGGTTCAAGCTTTCTGATGACATGGTCCGTTGGAGGAGACAGACAGACAGACAGACAGACAGACTTTTTTTTTCTCCCCTCTTTCCAAGAGCAGTTCCCTTTCAGGGACTTAGCTCTCAAAATGGAATCCTCAGCTCCTGAACTTGGAGCCTGTCACTGCCACCTTGACCCCCCACTAGAAAGACTGTTATTTTTATACATGGGCTGACAGGTGTGACAGATTCCTTCAGCCAATCAAAAGAGGTTTCCTGTAGGGAGTCATCTGCCTTCATCCACATCTGCATAATGCTCTGAAATAACGAATGATTTGTTCACACTTTGTGGTGAAGGTATAAAAGCATCAGAGTATAGGGAACAGAAAGCTGGCCTCAAAGCTAGAAGAGCCAGGTTCAAATCTAGCCTCTGACCCATGCTACCTATGTGACCCTGCTGCCTTAGTTTCCTCATCTGCAAAATGGGAATAATAGCACTTACCTCACAGGGTTGTTGTGAGGATCAAATGAGGTCATGTATGTTCAGCTCTTTGCAAACTTTCAAGCAATACATAAATTCTATTATTATTAGTTATTTAAAAAATAAATGGAAGGTTGTTACATACGATCCACTTAGGGAGGGAAGGCCCTAGCACTTGCAGGTCTCTGTGAAGAAAAGCTTCACACAGAAGATGGTGCTTGAGCTGCATCTTGAAGAAAGAGAGAAGTCTTTGAGGCAAAGATGAGGAAGAAGTGTATCCTAAATGTGGAGGACATCCAGAGAGAGCTAGATGACTCAGCTGTGGGGTGAAGGAGAGCGAGGGGTCAAGGATGATTCCAAGCTTATGAGCCTGGAACATTGCTCGAGAGAACCAGGAACATTCCCAAAAGGGGTAGATTTTGGAGGAAAATACATGACTTCTGGTGTGGATGTGTTGAGTCCAGTTAGACGTGTCCTTGGCGATGCAGGTCTAGAGCTCAGGGGAGAGCCTGGGGCTGGATGCAGACATCTGGGACTCATCTGCATGAAGACTGATTTGATTATTAACTTAGGAAACAGGGGCAGGCACCCTAGTTCTTTGGGTACTATCCAGAAAGATCTCGATTGGCAGTGGGAAATAGGGCAGCAATCACAGTTTAATTCAACACAGAGGCTGTAGGGGTGAAAAGCCCATAAAGGCAGAGACAAGTGGGAAAAGAGAGACAGATGTAGATGGTGTGGGAACGGGGGATGGGGCAAAGGAAGGCAGGCAGCACTGGGGAGATGATGTAGGGGGGAGAGAGGAATCAGATCAGAGTGAGAGCACCCGACGGAGAGGGCGCATTGTGGATGCTAGTATGGGTGGGGGCAGGGCAGGAATTTGAAGTCCCACTTTTATAGGGTTTTTTGGAGAAGCAGACCAACACCTATCTGTGCCTCCTGGGAGTTAGTTCATTCACATTTCCAAAGCATCTCAAAGTTGTCTGTAAAACTGCAAAGTCATCATCTGAGTTTTCCTCATCTCCTGATATTCCGCAGGTCTGCAGCTGTGGAGATGTAGATTTTGTCTGGGATTCCCACGTCATGGGGCCAGAAGCCTTGGAGAATGATGCTTAGATGGCTTCCTCTGGTTCTGCACATATCACCAGGATGTGAATTCTGATTAATACATAATACGATTTGTAAACTATCCTCTGTTGACTTTTGGGGCGGTTTGAAGGTGACTTCCAGGTTCCCCTTTGCAGTGTGATATCCTGCTGTTATCTCTTTATGCTGGCTACCTAGAAAACTTACTACACTGAGTAGAAGAGGAGTGGAGTGGTCAGGGGGACCAGAGTGAAATGATTATTAACTGAGGAGAGGGGCAGAGAGACAGAGAGGAGAGGAGAGGGGAGGGGAGCAGAGGGGTGTGTGTGTGTGTGTGTGTGTGTGTGTGTGTGTGTGTGTGTGTGTGGAGATTTATTGCATAATCACTCATTTGGAGAATGAGCAGAAGTAGAAATGTAGGAGTTGAAATGGATAGGAGAAACTGATTAAGTCTCCTTTTCATTTTAAATATGTTAGCATTTACACAGACTGTCTTCATTCAAATTGCTGCAA